CCGCCGGACCATTGCTCCGGCGTGTAGTGCCACCTGGCTATCGTAGTGTTCGGCAGGCTCAGCAACACGCTCAGCTTGGCTCATGCAGCCCGACCACGCTGCGGCAAAAGACGAGCTCAGTTTAGCGATGATTCGCGGTTCCATCCCGTGCTCGACCGTCGATCGTCACCTCTGGGTACAGACGTCACTCGCGTTCCACCATCCATGGCTGACCATTGCTTTCTCGGGTTGGTTCCATGGTATCGGCCGGTCGCTAGTGCGACACGTGCCTCCGCTCCGGCAGAGATCCCTGCTGGTCAGCTCCCCCCCCCCCCTCCCCCCCCCCCCCCGTAGCGCACCGACGCCACCGTTGTCCGCGAGCGCCGCTTGTCGACGTGAATCGCTCCCCGCCGCCAGCTGGGCAGATCGCTGTCTCGGTGTCAACCAGTGTTACGCGCCCGCCGGCTGGGGGGGCCCTTCGTTACTGCGGCCTCTTCGGTGCTATCGTTAAGCACTGTGGTCGAGCGATTGAACAAACCTGATAACGTCCAGCGGAGCCAATTATCATTCGTTACCGGAGTATCATGCAAAATCTGCGAGGCGGCAGCAGCGGAAAGCCGGGGCCGTCCATTTGGAATTAGGGAGCAATTACAATGCTTTTCTCTTTTCAATTAACACTGATACGGGCATTTACCATCTCGTTCGTTATGAAGCTGCCAAACCGGTGCAAGGTGGGTACCAGGCGTCCTATCTAAGAGGATATCCCAATTAAATAAGTCACTCCAGAAGCGACGATGGTAGCATTTCCGTGTCCCATTTTCCGATCATGAAAGCCGCACTGTGCCCTCGCCCCAAACTGGGTCATCAGTCGTGCTGTCACGGTACATTACGAACACATTCACCAAATCATGTAATGAATGTTGTGCTGTTCGGTAGGTTCGCAGTGACCCCGCGTGAAAGGCAGCACATCCTGCGACCCCTCTCCAATCTGACTACGGGCAATGCGTAATTCTAACCTTCACTGATTTCACGAACGAGAAAGCGTAATTGCGTTACTTGTCCGCGCGATAGGTTGCAGCAATGCCTCATTCCACCACAGATTGGCGTGGCTCGCTGTGGCCGACAGTTCAGTCCACAATGGATCGGTACGACTCGATAAGGCCACACGGCCGCGCGCCGCGCCCGGGTGGTTCCCCTAGCATGACCTGCTGCGCCGTAACACGTCATCGCGTCGCCTCGACGCCAACCGAGTGACCCGGCGTTCCGTCGGTGTGGCGGCCTGCCCGCCAGCCCGACTCGCTGTGCCGTCACGCTCCACCGCGTCGCCTCGACGCCTACCGAGTGACCCGGCGTTCCGTCGGTGTGGCGGCCTGCCCGCCAGCCCGACTCGCTATGCCGTCACGCGCCACCGCGCCGCCTCGACGCGACGCGACTAAGGCCATGTTCCGTCGGTGTGACGGGCCGCTCCGTCGGCCCGACACCACGTGACGGCGGGCGTCACGGCGCCGTCCGGCGGGACGCGTCGGCGGCGTCGGCGGCGCTGTCGGCGGCCGTCGTTTGTCTTGGCACGGCCAGCGGCGGTCCCGCCCGCTGCCAGCCGGCCGCCATGGAAGGTCACCTATCGGTCAGCCGGCGGCCACCGGCGGCGGAGGCACGCCGGCCGGACTCCACCCGTCCCCGGGCCGGCCGCAGACGCGCCGGCCGCGACCGACCCGTGACCGCCGCCGCCGCCGCGGCCGCCGTCCCCACGGCCGAGCGGCGATCAAACCGCAGATGAGTCCGGCCACGGACGGTGATCGATGGGAGAGCATGAGCCTGAGACAGAAGATCTCAGCCAATAAAAGAGCTGTAGATCACCATTTGGCAGCACTCTTAACCATCTTCCAGCTTCGACATACTTGCGATAATCAGTGACGTAGCATTTCATGTCTGTACTCACGCTCGCGCTGGTCAGGAATGCAACGGCAGACAGTAGAACCCCGGTCATACCAATCACGTAACTACCGCAACCCTGCATCGCACCACCCGCGCGTCACTCAGCCCACCGGACGTTTGTTTGCACTGAATGGTTATCGGCCCTGCTGCCGTCGAGCTCGACGGTAACGACGGCATTGACAATGCAGATCGCTGTCTCTGTCAGCCGGCGTAACGCGCCAGCCATTCATTACCGGCGGCTTCTTAGCCGCTATCGTCGGCACTCTAGCGGAGCGATTGAACGGGCCTGGTAACTCGGCTCCACGGCGCCGATGAATCGGTAGCAGTCATCCGGACACTTCGACCCGGCATATCAGTCATTTAACATTTCACTGTGCGCAAACAGCGCAGCACCACGTCACCTACGTCCGGCCGGGCGGAGGGCACCGCGACGCCGGGAGCGGGGGTGGGAGTGACAGGGCGGACAGCGGGTAACCGGCGCAGCGGGCCCGCCAGAGGTCAGGGGTCGCCCGACGGACAGGTGACGCCGCGCGCCGGGCCGCCGGGAGTCCGCCGGCCGGGCCGCCGACGCCGGTCGCAGACGGACGGACGCCCGCCGATGCCCGCCGGGAGTCCGCCGGCCGGGCCGCCGACGACCGCCGGGAGCGCGCGCGGCCCACAGTCGACTTCTGGTCTTAGCGGCGGAGCAGCACCGGTCACGGCAGCGGCACGCCCCGACGCCTGCCGCACCGCTGACGTGGGCGGGCGCTGATTCGCTCGACATCACTCGGGCCGTTAACGACCGCCGGGAAGCTGGGCAATCCTGACGCTCAGTGCGCCGATGCCTCCGTGGCGACGTCGATGACGTGCTGTAGCCCACTGCTTTGAGAAGGGCGAAGTCTTAAAGCCTTGAAATGTTCTGTGGTGGAAGCAGTCGCGTTTGTCAACCTGTACCCCTTAGCCGAAATGAAATATCTCCACAACGATTCTTTTTGCCACGCACTGCCCCCATGTATTCTGCAGGGAGTCTGACGACCTGACGGCTGGCCAGCCACTGACGGAATCCAGATAGCCTGCGCCGGACGTCCGCAGGCTAGACCATGTTACCGCATCAGCGTCATGCACGCACCGGAGCGGCGGACGGATCGCACGGCCGTTCAGTCACGCAACGATAACGACCCCAGTTACGTTAAGCTAGCGGCAGCTGCTGAGCCTGACGCTAGAGACACCGGCCGGCCGCGGACGGACCCCCGAGTCAGCGGCGGCGGCGGGCCGAGGTGAGGAACGGCTCCGCGCCGGCCGGCGACACGCCCGCGGGGTGGGCGCCGGTGCCGTCGCGCGGCCCGGCCGTGTCTCGGCGCGCCGCCGGCTACGGCTGGCCGACAGCTCCAGCCGAGCGGACGCACGTGACGACGCCCCGCTGAAGAGCGGCTCTCCCGCCGCCGCCCTGTATATTTAGTGTTGTTCGTGTTTATTTATAGCTGGCCGATCGGCGCAGTGAGCAGTCAGTCGCAGAAACAAAGCCCGCCGGCCGGCCGGCCGGCCGCGTGGGCGGTCCGGTGGCGCGCGGCGATCGCGACGCGCCACTCCGCCACTCTCCGCTGCGCCTGCCGACAATGCATCGCCTCCACGCGAGACTGCGAGGAGTGCGTGGACACCGGGTATGCTGCAGCGCTTGGATTACCCCCGACATGTGCCGTGGGACTATGAACCGAATCTGGCAGTCCAACTTTGTTTGCCAGGTGTGGCATGTCGCGTAGCCCACTGAGCACGACACGGCGGACTGATGAGCGGTACTTTAAGAGACATCGGTCGGCTGTCAAGCGAGACCGCCGGCTTCAGGGTATGAATATTGTGGATTTGTCCGTGTAGGCGCATGTTTCTACAAAATGTGTATCCGATTATGGCTGCATGGTTAGTTGGATTGAAATGACTCTCCGGAGCTCAGTCCCATTTCAATGGTGATTTGTGCCAAGGCCTTTCATCAGACACCTCCCACGTGACCTTAAAAATACTCGGTTTGTTCGTCAAAATTTCTCTCCGTTTTGCAAACCTACGGCCATGCCATTTAATCCGTACACTCCGTGGCTGAAACGATGTGCTAAGTCACATGAGCGCTGACAAAACCACGTTCCAAAAATACATCTCATCCACTTTAGTACAACTCACCGGAATGCCGTGGAGTACGGTTCCGACGAATGCGATAAATACATTCTCGTCAGCAGCGTCAAGACCAGCCCTGTCATATTACCAAGAATTGGTCCGCAGCCTTTCTCAAACATTTCCCCATGATTGGCTACCACATAGGGCCTAATGGTGGTGGTTCAACCCGAATTACGTTCGTCCAGTAAATAGTTTTGATCGGGTGATATTCGCTCCATGTTCAATGAAACGATCTGCCTATTCTATGCGCCGAAAAGCCCATGTGCCATGTGCTCGTCGTCGTGCCACGCGATAACGCCTCCCGTTAACTGCGGCTTTTGTGATGAATCCAAAGGTGAAGCTCTGCCCGAAATTTTTCGTTAGCAACGCCCTCGAGTTTAGCCTCAAAGTTGAATTTGCGGTCTTTATAACGAAAAACTTTGCATGAGACACAAGAATGTAAAGGCATAATCTAATACCAGACATGAATGCTGAAGCCGTGAAGTCACGATCCCTGCCGATAAGCTTTTGGCGGCGACATTTAAACCTTCACCTTCGCATCTTCAGAACCAAACCTTGCTGAGTGCAGTCGGGGCTCGCTTTGCACTATCAGGCCATAACCTTGCACACGTGACCAAGGAGGGAGCAGGGCGTTTCTCGGCGGCCGGACCCCATACGTCATACGTGACGTCACAGCCACGGTTTGTTTGCCGTCCGGGCCGCCGGGCCATTCGTCATCATTCGCACGCTAGAAGTTACCGGCGACATAAGGAAGAACTCGACCACACACAAGCCTCTGGACAACCAAACGGCACGGTTATGAATGCTGATTAGTTATTGATCAGAAAAGCATGCTGCGCTGAATGGATACCGCGAATGGATCCCGCGACAAATCCATTCGGCGTTGATAAGGGGGAAACACTTCCAAACATGACACCAAGTTTTCCACGACTCGCAGGACTTACCTGTTTTCTCTTTTATCTCCATAAGGACTGAGAAAAGGGCGTTTTTCATTCGATGGCTGTTCAACGTGTGCTTCCTCGAAAATTCCGTACTGAAATCAAAGAAGCGGTGTTAATATCACATAGACTTGGGAGTGCTCCGTATCTGGCTACATTCTTCTCCAATGTTTGGGAGAACAGAAAGGTATGGCGTTGCCCTTTGGGTCGGACTTTCAAATAGCGTTGCACCCTATGACAACTGTGTGTAAGTATTTGGCACATTTTTTACATGCTTTGGTCATGGGACAAAGACTTACTTCAGACACAGCATGATTCAGATATAGCATCTGTGGGCACCAGGTGTGAAGTTCGAGACAACTTGATGTGTTTCGGTTACATAATAAAAGTGCAGATTACACGAGCAAAGCTGACCTCGATAGTAGCTTGATAAGATACTTATGATCGCGGGCTGATCACAGATTATTCCCGAGTGCAAAACGCACTCTTTTGACATGAGGATCAGCACGTGCATCTGAGCATGGATACAGCCGCGTGGGCATCACTAACAAAGCAGGAGGCTCTCCTTCGATTTGGGATGCAATGCCGTCATCAATGCAACTTCATCCACCATCCGAACGCCGCATTTCTAGTCGATTTCAGCGCGTCTAATCACGCTTTTGCGGCCTGCGCTGCCAAGAGTACATTAAACATGGCATTTAAGGTACTGGTCGCAGCGAAAGCTAGCACGACAATATCCGGGCACACACAGAGGGCCTCAAACCTATTCCTGGTGCTTGGTGTGGTCCTGGCGCCATCTGGCGGAATCTGAGCCCCGGGTAAGCCGAGCTTGTTATTCCGGCTCCATCCCGGCCGACGGCCTGTGCCCAAACGTGGATTAATTCCGCCGCGCGGGTGCCGAGCCGGGAAGAGCTGCGGATCTTAGATGCACCTTCAAGGTCATCACGCGCCCGGCCGTGGCGGAGGTCAACAGGGTCACTGTACTGTGACGCAATGAGGCATCTGCATTGGTCAAATTTGATTGAGACCTATACAACGTATATACACTGAATACAACGGCCTGACAACAACAGGTAGCTATATGTGTAATATATATATATATATATATATATATATATATATATATATATATATATATATATACAGCTTTCGTCACGCATTTTTTTATCATCACCCATTCACATGCTTTTGAAAGACGCTGGCAGGAGTCAGCTGCATGAAAATACATCTCGCATAGCTGAACTCAGACCCAAGCACTTATGTGAACAACTCACTTTTACACGCCTACGTCAATCCCAGTGAAAGGTTGACCATAGAGAAATCAAATGTTAAAGCGAATGTTCCCCAATTTTAGGGGATTTGAATTGAGAGTCCTCTTGAAAATCATGCGGTGCAGTGCACAGCCCTGCCCTTCTTTAACAACTTAACTCTTCCAGCTGTTTAAGGTGCACGCCCGTTAAGATATGCAGATCATTTCGGGAGACTATTTCAAGACCACCCAGGCATCCATGACGCCATAATAACGTCCATCAAATCCTGTCATTCCATTAGCCATGCGACGATCAAGGCCCAGAAAACTATAGTTGTCGAGTCGTTCATATCCGGCGTTCATGAGCACGATTTCCAGATATAACAGCCGTTAACTGGCTGTCAATCAATATTGTGCAAGGTGCGATAGCGTAATCACACAATCACGTAATCACAGGATGTATTGAGGAGCATATTAACTAAGCCGAGAATTTGTATTGCCTAAAGCAGCCTTTTCCACTTAAAAGCGCAGTCAAAAGGATACCAGTAGTTATAAGTGAGCTTACGTTATCATATCTAGTGTCTGCTTCAATATCTTCAAATGCCTGACATTCCGTTTAAAAGCAGCTGCCTGGTTCCCCAACTCCATGGGTGGCAGGCTCTGACAGTACACCACATTTCAGAATAATGTGCACACAGAAAAGTCATGTAAAAACACTCGCCCAATTTTGGACCCCGCCTTCCCTTCCCCCGCCCATTTTTTCGCAGGGCTGAACAAAATGCTCATTTGGCTATCAATTTTGATTTAGAAACATATGCATAAAACTTCGGTGGTACTTTATTAATTACAAAAGCACATGCCACAAATTGTCACTTTTTCGTTCATGCCAATCATACCCAACAGGCCAACTTGGTCCTCCCAAGCCAACTTAAGTTCTTTTCTAACTTATATCGGACGTAAAAGTCATCAAACTTAATACGAAGACACAAAGCAGTACGAAAATGCAGTGCACTGGTGCATTTTGAGTGTCGTGACTGTCATAAATGGTCGAAGTGATCCCCCCCCCCCCCATACCTTTTGATTATAACTATTCTAACATCCTCCACATTTGTTTAAAGATTCCAAAATGCCCTTCCTCTCCATTCGGCATTAACTTTTCTCACTATCGCTGTCGAAGATTTTCAACTTCATGACACTGGCAACGGGCTTCATAACGCCTCAGAATCTTAAAAATCCATCCTGTCCTATAAAAATCCATCCCGTCCTATAAAATTTGATACAGTAGGGATGTTAAGTGCACGTTCATTTGTGCAGCCTATTAGCATGTCATCCAGGGTAATACGTACCATCAACAGAAATTACATTACAATGGCGACTCCCATTTTTTATCACTAGTGCAGTGGCGTACATTTCGCGCCTCCTGAACCACTCATATCCAAACGAGCCCAAAATGGTATAAAGTGCCTGGGTTCAAGCAGACATGAAACCCTTCCAAAAAACGTAAAGGTGCCTTCGGAAGTGTCCCACAGGTGCAACTTCGACGCATAGCTACATATCTTCGAAAATGGTTGAGGCCATCATGATATTAGCAAACTGCCACATAAACATCGCCATGAATTACGCTTATCTTATACACTCTTATCAACACTCTTCTGACTTCAAAAGAAGCAAAAATACTGACACGACGGTGGATAAATTGCAGAGTATTCTGGTATGCCTCGTCTTGGATTTATAGGGCAGCACAAGAAATAGCACCTTCTGAAATGACTGCGAGCTAGACTCGTTTGAGTCCTGAAGAAACAGTTCCAACCTTGGGGGGGGGGGGGGACGGGGGGGGTTCCTTTATTTATCTTAGATCCGTCACAATCTGTGCTGTGCAGATGGACATTAAATACTACATCCGCCCTTCATATGCCATCAATGATCCCTTTTATCGGGAGAATCAAGAAGGGGAATCAAAAAGTTTACATGTTCTTTATATATTAATGTCATCTGGTTAGGTATCAGGGCCCTGGGCAGAATGTTCGGGTATGCTTCATACAAGGCCCCTGGGCAGAATACCAGAATCGCGTGGGCGCTATTCCAGGTATGTACGAGTGGCATACCACGTATCAATAGGAGGCATACCAGGTCTCGTGAGTCGCATACCGGGCCACTGTGAACTGCCTTCCTCGCATGCGTGGTCACAATACCAGAAACTGTTAGGTAGTGATTCTCGCGTATTAATTTTCAACGACATGCGGTACAAAATATCGTTGCCCAACTGCTCGCTCCGCAGTCGGTATGGTTGGCGATCCCGGGCGGATAGTAAGGCCTACATCATCCAGCATTCGAAGACCTGACAGAAAGAAGTCCCTGGCAATGACCCGAAAAAACCGGTCCGAAGTCGCATGTGAGCACCCAATATTGTCCGGAATCTCAAGCAATGCTGATGAGGATCATTAAATATCCCAAATTCCCATATGCAGTCCAATGCACCGGCAATTGCACATAAGCGCAATTCCAATGTCATTTCATGTCCTCAAGATTGTTAACTGTACAAAGCTCATGGCAAGATAAACACAGCATCGTTGGGTATCGAAATGAAACAATCACTACCTACGGCTCAAAACCCAATAATTCATGGCATAACGACAGACATCTTGTATTCAGCGCCAATAAAGGGTTAATATACAGTTCCCAGAGGCCTCACATTCCTCTAATCGACGTGTGGCATGACATTCTTAGAAACCTGGAATGGCACCCACGCAGGCCTTGTGCGACGCCCATGGAGGTTTGGTATTCTACCCAGGAGCCTGGCTCAACTGATCGTAGGTGCGTGCCGCCCACTAGGGTACACATTGGCAGTTCCGTTCTTAGATGCTATCCGCAGCTGCCAGAAACAGTTGAGCCATTTTTCAACTCCACTGCCAAATGGTCGGATGCTGGATGGCTGTAAAGACACACCAACGTCACAAAAAAATGCACGACTAACTGGGTCACTGCGGCAGCGAAATTTAAGGTTAGCTGCCAACTAGATAAACTCGGTCCGTGGCCTGGCTCGTAACCACCGTTCGCAGCACTCATCACGACTGCAACTTAGATGCAAATGGCAAGTACCATGCTCATGTCATCAGAGCGGGTAATGGTCTAGTGGCCGCATTAGCATGATCTACTCGCATGAACTCACACGAAATCTGTGACGAACGTTTTTTATCGACGAAACGCTGATTGTCAACAACTGATGTTCATGTCCCTCACGTCATAAGCTGAAGTTACCACCCTGCCCAATAGCATATCAAAACTCGTTGTTTGTGTCTGCAATACCTGCATGTCGTTTGACAACCTAAACGTTGACTGCGTAGTTACAACTGCATCCCTAATTCACTTTTCTGTTTTTGTGAAGAAGCCATACACAAGTATTCTAACATTTCAATATAAAAATGTTGTCGCACGGTGTGAACTGGTAGTATGTGAAAGAAGCCATACACAAGTATTCTGAGATTTCAATCGAAATGTTGTCACACAGTGTGTTAACTGGCAGTATCTGGGTGTCATCTAAGAGGACAACTTTCAAACCTTAGCCGTCCCTGATACGTTCGGGTAGTATTTTAAGCTCAACTACATGAAGGCCAACATAGAAGAAAGACTCTACCGCGCAAGGCAAAACCACAAGAAGGTGAACACAGCTTCCGAGGGGCGTGGGTAAATCCAGAATTGGTTAATAAATAAATGGGTGAAATCCAAGCCATGCGAGACGGAACCTGCCGCACTCCTCCTGGGAGCCGCTGGCTAAACAGTCGAATGGTATCGCTGGAACACGGAAGCGATGCCGACCTTCAGTGCCACTTGACACACATTGCACAC